ACACACACACACACACACACACACACACACACACACACACACACACACACACAGACACACACACCTACACACACAGACACACACACCTACACACACAGACACACACACACACAGACACACACACGCACGCACGCACGCACACACGCACACACACACACACACACACACACCCACACACACACACACACACACACACACACACACCTACACACACAGACACACACACGCACGCACGCACGCACACACACACACACACACACCTACACACACAGACACACACACCTGCACACACACACACACACACACACACACACACACACACACACTACAGATTTATTGAATTATCAGTCATTAAGTTGGATTCCCATGAATGCATGAACTGATCAGAAGTGTAGCTTGAATGCAATGCTTTGGATAAAAGCCTCGACCAAATGCATGAAACTGTTTGTAAAACCCTGTTTGACAGAAAGAGCGCCTGCGAAAGAAAGAAGCCGGCGTGTCGTCCAGCTGAGACAGAAACAGATGCACGCTGTTTGAGTTCGTTCAGAGGATCTGCTGAGGATCTGAAGAATCATTTCAGATCACTCCATCATCAGATATACCAGAAAACAGCCCGAAATACTGCACCGAGTGTGTGGAGCCACTTCAGCACGAGAGAACCGTCCTATTAAACATATGCTGATGGCAAGAAACATCTGACATCAATATATCTATCAGAATCAGCAGTGCCTCATATTCCTCAAACAGGGCCTCATCTATATTATCTGTGTTTGGACTTGAATGGCGTCACTCGCTTCTGCCTCGGTGTTTCACCACATTTTTTACTTTTGCCAAAATGAAGCACTTTTACACTCCTCACTCGTGGAGCCTATGCAATATCCTCCGTTTCAAAAGAGAAATGTGCAAATCATATCCATGCATTAAATGTGAGAAAACTACTGATGTGTGTTATGATGATGAACGAATCAGATTTACCCTGCAGTGAGTGTGCGACTACATCTGATGACATCTTCATGCGTAAATGAGTCAAAAAGTCCTGTTTATTCACAGAACGAAGGTTTTATTGAGGGATATAATGTTGTGAGGATGCCAGAAAATGATAATGTTTCCCTGTTGGTTTTTGTGTAATGAATTCTGTAATTTATCCAGTTTTTTCAGGCCCAGATGTGTTGAAAACCTCCTGGAACATTAATACTGTGTCAGATTTTATTGACATTTTTTAATTAATTTCCTGTGTCAACGTACATTTATTAGGTGCAATAAACGGACATCAGCGTCTGCAAAATGCAAAACTAAGAAAATGTGTCTTCCTATTTCTTAAAAAGTATTTACATTAAAATCAAAATCACATTTGTAAAAACCTTGGATTATAATAGAAAAGAAATGATGCTTTCGTAATCACCTTGTTCTGTTTTCAAAGAGTTATTCAGTTTTTGATGCATTAGACATATTCCCTCTAAAGCAAAATGTCTTATTTTAAATGCTCAGTGTTTGATTTTTACTCACTTCATGAACTTGCTGTCTTGTAAATGATCCAACAAGCAAATCAAAACATGAACTTTATAGATTATATATATGAGGAACAATGCGTTTAAATGAATGAAGCACATTATACACAACATCTGTAGATCCTTTGCTCTTCACAACCAAATCTTTCACTGTTTTTCCTCTACGGCTGATATTATAAATAGACGAATAGCATGAAGAATCTGACAGCAATCCAGAAGAAGTGTCTCATAAAGTCGTTCCACATCGTGGACACTATCAGTCCTCAAACTCCCGTAATTCTAGATTTGGAGATGAATGAACGATGCTCCTCTGCTTCTGTCACTACTACAGCATAGAGTTCAGGACAGATTTCATGTAGAGTTGCCCTGGAAGCTCTCTAGCATTCGAGTAGCTGATAAATAATATGTGCATGAATGTGCATTCTCTCAACAGCAAGATCCAGAAGTCTCAAGACCAAAAATGTAGGATAACCTAAATAAATAAATTGAAAACTTTAGGATTTTTAAAAGTGAAATGAGTGATCATTTGACATTTTTGTGCTTTTTTGGTTGTTTTTCACTGGTGTTCCTGGAACTGATCTTGGTTTATAAACGTATAAATACTTCATGCGTCATCTGTTAATTAACGAGTGCAAAAAAATGCATGTTTAATAAGCATAAAAGAATATTTAAATATTGTATGACAACTACCCACATCACTACTAGTCAAAATTTGCATTGGGAAGTATTATTATTTTGTTAAAGTATTAGAGCTTTAAATAATTGTGGTGCAAAATTATTTCTGTGACCAGTCAAATGAAAGTAAATAAGTGTTATTGATCATTTGATATTTTTAGGTGCTTTTTGACTATTTTTAGCCATTTACTTATTTATTTTTTAACTGGTGTTCATTAATCCTGCAGTTAAACTTTGCTTATAAATACTTCATGCATCTCTCAAATGAGCTAAAAAACCCTGCATGTTTAATAATCATAAAACAATATTTTTTTAAACTCTAGTTTTAGATTTAAAAAGATTTCACTTTTTATGTCAACTACCCATGTGCACTACTAGTCAAAATGTAAAAAATTGTGGTACAAAATGAATGCAAAATCGTTTTTATTTTGATGGTTTTTGACCATTTTTAGTTGCCTTTTTTCTCTCCTGCAGTTAGTTTATAAATATACAAATACTGCATGCATCTCTCAATTAATGATCTCAAAAAACTGCATGTTTAATAATCATCAAAAATATTTAAATGCTGTTTGAAACGATAGTTTTAGATGAAGTATGACATGCTTTATATCAAACATCCATATGTAGGCCTAATCTTCGGTGCTTTTTGACCATTTTTAGATGCTTTTTTCTTCCAGTTCTTACTGGTGTTCAATAATCCTGCAGTATAAATACTCCATGCATCTCTCAGTTAGGTTAGTGAGCTCAAAAAAACGCATGATATTGTTTAATAATCATAAAAAAATATTTAAATCTAGATTAAAAATGACACTTTTCATGTCAACTACCCACATGCACTACTAATCAATATTTGTATTAGGATTTGTAAATATTAATATTGAATGCAAATGCATTTTTAGGTGCTTTTTGACCATTTTTAGATGCTTTTTCTTACTGGTGTTCAATAATCCTGCAGTTTATAAAAGTATAATTATCCCATGCATCTCTCAGTTAGGTTAGTGAGCTCATAAAACCGCATGTTTAATAATCATAATAAATGTAGATTAAAAACGACACTTTTCATGTCAACTACCCACGTGCACTACTAGTCAAAATGTAGACACATTGAACTGGATTTAGGTTGCTAAACATCTTGCTGCCAGAAAATGAGTCCGTAGACGAGCTTAAGAAGGAGTGAAAGGAGAAGCATCATCATCATCATCATCATCATCATCGCACATCGAATCTGTGACTAGTTGTGTGTAACGGTGACAGATGCGTCTCTTCCGCGAGCTCCAGCAGATCAAGCGTGCTCTTACTGACGCGTCGCTCTCGGGTCTAGTCCAGCTCGATGGAGACGCAGCGGCACTGTTTGACGCGCTGCACGCGCTTCTTCCGCGTCGGCGGCTGCTGGTCGGGGCAGCTGAGGGTGAAGGTCATGGTGCTGAAGCGCTTGGGTTTGCAGAACGAGCAGGACTGGAACGCACCCTCCTCTCTGCGCACGTGTCTGGGGATGTAGAAGGAGTTGCACTGTCCGTAGCAGAAGCGGTTGATGATGGTGCGGCTGACGCAGCCCTCCTCGTGGATGGTCTGCTTGAGCGGCTGCGTCTTGCACCAGTCGCGCTTCAGGTAGCGGCGCTCGGTGACATGCAGCGCCTCCTGGCTCGACTCCAGAACCTCCTCCGAGCCGCGGCTCCTGCCTCTGGAGCCCGGGGCCGCCTGCTGCTGCTGCTGCTGCTGGCCAGACTCGTTCGGGTTGTTCTTGTCTGGGTGAGGAATCGCGCCTCGGTTCCGCTTGGATTCGGTGGGTCTCGAGAGAAGAACCCAGACGAAGAGCAGCGCGCACGCGATCCGAGCGGAGGAGGCCATCGGCACTGAAGAGAGAGAACGGCACAGCGTTCGGAAACATTCAGAGCGTTCGGAAACAAACATTCAGAGCATTCGGAAACATTCAGAGCATTCGGAAACATTCAGAGCATTCGGAAACAAACATTCAGAGCATTCGGAAACATTCAGAGCATTCGGAAACATTCAGAGC